ACGGAACGAACTGCTGCACAGTAAACTCATCCTTTGTTTGATAGACGGATATCTCGCATACGCCATAAATGACGCAAGTTGGTAAAAGCTAGTCGAGCCTTCTGTATCCGTGCTGAGATTTCGTCACACACCAGACCACAAGGGCTGATGAGACTTCCAAGATAAGTGAAACGATCGACACGCTCAATTACTTCACTCCCTATCATTAGTTCGGGTGTCAATGCAACTCAATCCTGAAGCAACATTCTGCATTTCGAGGGGGAGAATCGCATCTCGAACGAGCTTGCATTGTTGCTTAGAGTGGTCAGAAGACTCTGCATTTTGCCAACGTCTTCACCAAATAAAACTATGTTATCGGCATGTTCTAAGTCAATACATGAACCTCCCGGTAGAAGTTCAACCCCTGGAAATCTAGACGAGGAAAGTGTTATCTCTACAAGCACGTCCGCGATAAAGTTAAACAAGAATGGAGAGAGTGGGCAGCCCTGACGAACACCACTTGAGGTAATCAATTCTGATGACAGTTCACCATAAGCTCTCACTCTACCAGTTGTGTTCGAGTATAGAGCCTTTACAAGGTTAATGTACTTCTTTGGTACTCTTTTCAGTGATAAACACTGCCATAGAAGCTTACGATCGACACAGTCGAATGCTGCTTTAAGGTCAAGAAATACTAGGATTTTTGGGCGTCTGAACGTGTGTCTGTGTTCTAGAACCTGACGTAGTGTGAATATCTGATCTATACAACCACGTCCAGGTCGAAAACCAGCCTGATTTTCTCTAGTCTGCTCTTCACGAGCTTTAGTTAGACGTCGAAGTATTATTGAAGCTAATATTTTAGACACTATATTAGTCAAACTGATTCCTCTGTAATTGTCACAAGAGGACTTCACATGACTTCACAATTCACAGTCAGCACCTGACGTGAATTACTCCGTACAATACAAATGACGTTATTACAAAAATATATTATCGCATAAGTCAATCCATAGCATACAATTAATTGATACGCGCTAGATTGTCCTTAACCTTGAAAGGGATCGATCAAACTACTAATTGATTTCATTAGAACTCAATAACATTTCACTAATCCTATGAAAGTATTCATTAACTATATTGTAACTAGGATAGATAATAATGAGATGTTCCCCCCCTTTCAGAAATTTCCTAATTTTTATCTAAAATAATCATACCTGTTGATAGTTGAAAATTAATTTTTCCTCTTGTTTATTTTTTTTTCTGTAAAAATGTTCCCCCCCCCTGTTTTGTGTATGTGGGTGTGGGGGTGTGTGTGGATGGGTAATTTATTTTAGTTTTCTAAAAAAAGAAAAAAAGAGAGAGAAATATTAAAAAAAAGAAGAATAAAACATCTGTTTATCTAAAGGATACATATGAAAAATATGTATATGAATACAGTTTATCAGTCTTATTCTTCTCTTTTTTTTGTGAAAAAAAAAGGGAACAAATTAGATTTACGTAAACTGATATACGATTTAAAGTATTTATAGTATGTGGAATGTATTCTGTGGGAGAGAGCCAAACAGCTTCCAGCTGAAGAAGAAATTAAGAAAAGACGATGGAAATGGATAGGACATACATTACGCAAATCATCAAACTACATCACGAGGCAAGCCCAAACTTGGAATCCTGAAGGGAAGCGGAAAAGAGGAAGGTCAAAGAACACATTATGTCGTGAAATAGAAGCAGATATGAAAAGGATGATTACGAACTGGAAGGAGCTGGAAAGGATTGCCTAGGACAGGTTTGGATGGAGAACGCTGATGAGCGGCCTATGATCCTCCACGAGGAGTAACAGGCGTAGGTTAGTAAGTAAGGAATGTATTCATTCACTTAATGTGATCATCGAAAGAGTGATAATAATTATTATAATAAATTCATTTGGTATTGCTTTATATGGATCTTCCATTGTTATTTAAGACTGTAATTTATCAGTCTCATGATGGTATATATGCGTCCTGTGCGGATTGCCTCAATGTAGCCTCAAGTCATAAGCTTTTATAAGCAATGATGGATAGTGGCTAGCAGTGGAATCCAGTTTGGTGTGCGTTTCTTCCTATCCTGGGACTCGTCAGCTGGATATACGTGCATCTCAGACTTGGTGTTCACTCTGGGTACCGTTCGCTTCAAATGCCATCGCACTCCTAAATAACAATAGGAAGATACAAGTAAAACAACATCAAATGAATTTAAACTTCACCCCATTACACAAGGAGGTGGTTATGAGAACTCAGTAGCTAAGTGGATAACGTGATGGCGTTTGGAGCGAACGGTACTGGGTTCGAGTCCCAGGGTGAGCATCAACTCTGAGATTCAGGTACATCTAGCTGATGAGTCCCAAATAGTACGAAACGTGCTCCCTTGATTTCACAGCTAGCCATTATCCATCTTTACTTAATAATTATAATGGTTAAAATTATGAGTCGATCTAAGCTGGACCACCATTGGAAACGTGGAACCAATGGACGGCTGTTTTGTCTTAGTACGCGACTCTTCAGCAATGCTAATCCAAGCTCCTGCAAGAGGGGCTTGAACTCAGGACTTTCGGTCTTGTGTGCGAACGCTTAGTTTCTGGAACACTGAACCGGCCGACATCGAACGGTGTTAATGTCTAGCATCAACCAATGCACATAATCGCGTAACTATCTTCCATCGTCTGAGACAGAAATCTATCTCTTCCAGACATGGATTCGTCCCACTTGTGATGGCTTCTCACCAGAACTCTGAAAATTCCTTCACGAAACTAGTTACTAATGACATAATAATCTCGACAACTCAAGACTGATAATTCCATTTATCTTGGCATATATTTACACAAATTACCCTAATCCTAACACACACACACACACCATTGTTAATGATGAAAAATAATTGAAAGATTTCACTGAAGTTATGTTGTTGTGTTTTCTTCATCTTTTCCAAATAATCTATTACATAATCTTAATGAAAGTTAATTACTAGTCTATACAAAATTGTTTTATTAGAAATGTAATCAATGGAATGCAATTATCAACCATTCTAAATGATCCTCACTTATCACTATGTGTAAAAAAAATAAGAAAAATTTCAATCATAAACCTGTTTTTTTTAATTTTAATAAAATTTACTAAAAATAGTTTCTAAGGGAGTAATAATACGAAACTCATGATGAATGTTTCATCCTACTGAAAACTCATCAGTAGTAATGGTAGTATCTCGCAATCCCAATATTGGCGAGACTATAATTTGTGGACGCCCTCAGAACGAATCCCAATTGACCTTGGGAAATATTAACCAATCAGCAAACAGTAAATATAGAGTAAAAAGATGTTATACAAAAGCAAAGAAATAAAATGGATGCACTTCATATACGTGGTTCAAAAACTTGTCAAGGTTAAAAAGAGGTTCAGAGGTTCTAAAATCGTAATGCATGCAGTAGAGGAAATCATTCATATGGCTACGGAATAGTCGGCCTCTGGAGCCATGATAAAGTCTCAGAAACTCTCAGTCTTGACCACATAGCTTCAATATTGTTTGTGTGCTCTCCGGTTGTTGAGTACACAAAATACCACTTGTGGATAACGACACGATGCACATAACCAAGCCTATGTAGGAGTCTGTACGCTCTCCAAACATCCGTATATATTGTAGTACCTGGCTGCAGCCAGTGTTACTGGTGCTTTTATTATCCAGTTCGCAATAATTGTCGTAATTTGCCTTAGTTAGGAATTATATATGGGGTTTTCATCACGAACTGACATCAGCTATAATTCCATAAATCTATTTAGCCAAATGGATGAAAGGCTTTCGCGTTAAAATCCGAGATCTATTATCTTATACCTGATTGATTCGTCCACAAATTATAGTCTTGCTGTTTTATTTGTTACAGCCTCTCAATTACCACGTTTTGTACAAAATTCCCTATGAACCGATCGTATGTTAGCATTAAGCACTGAAGTTGTTCGTAAATTAGAGTCTCACACTAATCTTCATGTGAACACTTATACTCTAACCAAGTAAATGATGCTTTAAAATACTCGACGCTTTGTTCATTGAGCTATTGACTTCAGATAGTCATTAAACTGCCTAACAAATGTAAGCGGGAAGCTGTGATGAATAAAGTTCAATCCATATCGGGTGCAAGACAGTTAGCCGTCACATGCAATAGATGAATAGTTACATAAAATCATATATTGAATAAAGTTAATCTGTAATACTGCTTAATAATGGCTCAAGTCTTGAGTTCTATATCCGCTTGTACAATCATGAATATGCACTGTTGAATAGTCCCATACTAGGACGTAATTACCAATCATTATGTGAATCATTTCGTCGAAGTTGTTAACATAGTTTACAAATATGATTGATTTTCACTTGATGTTGCTTTTACTTATATCTTCCCATTGTTATTAAGGACTACAATTGATCAATCTTATGATGGTATATATGCATCCTGTGCGAATCGCCTTAATATTGCCTTAAGTCCTAAGCTTTTATAAGCAATGATGAATAGTGACTAACAGTGCAATCCAATTTGACGAGCGCTTCGTCCTATTTTCACATAAGACAACTGTTTTATTCTATTCAACTCTTCTGTAATTTCATGAATATGAAGTCATTGTTTTTTCTTTCATTCTAACTGCCTTGTCTACTAAAATGTACAATTTTCCCATCATGTATAACCCTAATCTTTTTTTTCCCATTTCTAAACTTGAAATTCATTTAGATTTAAAATTCATTAGACCAATGTAACTTATGAAATATCCAATGAAAAATGTCACAATCATGATTGTATTTGTGTATTGTGTGAATATGTAAATACTACTAATGGGTTAATTCATGTCACGTACATCTACATTTATAGATACGTACACATACAAGCAAATAGGGATTTATCTGAAGGTTCATTCGTTTAGAGGTCTCTGTATGTATGTGTGTGTGTGTGTGTGTAATATAGGGATACATACCTGTCTACCATCATGGTTAATACATATATATATATGTATGACAAGAAGGATAAATTGCAGTAAATGGAGCGAAAAGTCAACTGTTTCATCTACCAGATTGTATATACCACAAAGTTGACGACATATCTATATCTATCTATCTATCTATCTACCTCTAGAGTATATTAGACAAATAAAATAAACAAAATAAAAATCACTTATGTCGATGATATTGATAATGATGATGATTATGCCGCTGATGATGCTGGCGATGAATATATATGACAGTTAGACATTTAATAATATTATCTCTATTGATATAACAATTCTATAGTCAAAGTCAATTATCATTATACATACAAAATTGTTTTACTTCATTCCACTTGGATACTTATACATGGATACACACTACAGATAGACATGGTTACTAGTAGTACATTCATTGAATTATTTATTTATTATTCACTAAAACGACATTGTTAAATTGGGAAAAATGTTACATTTACCCTCCATCTATCTGGTGTACACACACACACACACTTACACACCTACACACGCACACCTACAAACATACCTACACACACACACCAACACATACAGACACATATACAAAATCATTTGCACTGTATCATATCATTACAAATAAAATGAAAATACCGCTCAATTAAACTGATCCAGTTTCCAAGGGAAATTATTTATTTATTTTTTTGAAATGAGAATTATTATTCTTATTTTCATTGATTAATTATGTTATTAATTCATTTCAAGTTTTATTTACAAATAAATAATTTTTTATATTTTTTATGTCAATTCATGATTTTCTTATCGAATATATGGATTTTCAAAATGATACAAGCAAATCATGTCACTATGGCAACAAGTAATAGTAGTAACAATAATAATAATAATAATAAGCATAATTTATTATTTAATTCTGATGGAAACATTTTCAATATGGAAACACAGATGGATTTGATTCATCGTTTACCACGTTATACACAAATATTGTCGTCGTCGTCGTCGTCATCGTCATCATCATCATCTTCATCACCGTCAGCAATAACACCAATTCTAGGTACAGAATTAATTCAACTTAGTTATAATTGTATAGTCTATGATGAAACACCAGCTCAATATAATTTACTTGATGAAACTAATGGAAATACATGTCAATTATTATCACCATCATCCTCCTCATCCTCATCTTCATCCTCCTCCTCATCATCATTATCGAGTATACAAATGATTCAAATAAAAAATTCCGAGAAATTATTCATCAATATGAAAATTATTACAACAGCAAATCCTATGGCAAAATATTTCAATATTAATCCAAATAATTATACATTGTATACAAGTCAACATATTGATCGTGAAGAATTATGTAATCAAGCAATGCTAATGACTGATACATCGTCTATACCGGATTCTTTACGAACATGTTGTATAAATCGTCGAAAGGAATGTATTTTCCCATTGAATATACTTGTACAGACAAGAATTGGTAAAGATGATACGGTTGCTACTACTACTACTACTAACAGTATTAATAGTAGTAGTAGCACCATTTCTAAACATTCAGTCGACAAAGGAATTAATCATGGATCATCCATTATTACTGATACTACAATCGCTGATATTAGTAGTATAGGTAGTATTAGTAATAGTGGTAATATTGTTGATGTTGTAAGTAGTAGTTCACGTTCAAAATTTTTTACAATTAACATAAAACTAATTGATATCAATGATAATGCACCAAAATTTCCAAATCCTCAATATACAATCCATGTTTCAGAAGGAATACATGTTGGATCCAGGTTACCTTTACCATTAGCGGAAGATTTAGATTGTGTAGACTATAATATTGTACGGTAAGTCTGATTGTAATATTTAAAAGCATATATATGTATATATATATATTCATTGCTGTACACGTATCATGTTTCAATGGTTGACATGGTCAATGTTATTTTAATGGAAATAGTGAGTTTAATAAAGCTTAGACCTTATTCATAAATGATCATGTCAAGAATCGAAACCAGATCGTTAACAAATCACAATTGTGGTCTAATTAACTAGAACAATACAATTGTTAAGTAGTTCATAATTGATTCCTTGAGTTCAATATGTGACAAGAATTGTTTTCATCCCGTTTTTCTTTTATATTCACGATTGAATTATGACCAATTTTTATTAGTATATGTATGAAGAGTACAGTATTGAGTTTCAATGAGAGTATTAACATTTAGATGCCGACCAATCCGGTTGTTTCTTGAATTTTTCTATTAACTCTACTTCATTTTCATGGAGTTTTGCTCTTTGAACTGGATGATTTAGTCATGGAGCTTTTATCATTCGAGTAATTCGAACACTTCACTTCTACCTGAAGTTTGTGCTGATGATTTCGTTCAGAAGAACGAAGAAAGCTCCACAAACAAATCATTCAGTTCAGTGAACTAAACTCCATCAAAATCATCCACTTGAGTTACAAATCTTCTTCACCGCCTCAATTCATCTTATCTAAGTAGATTATTTCTGTTGAAGCTGTGAACGTATATGTTAGATGATTTCAGTATGAAAATTTCACTGTCTTTCTAGACTTACCTTTGAGTACTCAATTTGAAATAATCATGATGATATAAAAGATTTATTAGTTTTCACTTCTCATTTAATAAACTTCCACCTGAATAATACAAAAACAGATTAATTATCATCAGAAGGGGTTTTGTGAAGATCGTGGTAATTTCAATATTTGAGATCATGAGTCCATTGAATCTAGACCATCATGGAAAACCTGATAGTACTGGACGACCGTTTCGTCCTATTGTGGGACTCCTCAGCAGCGCGCATCTATGACCCCTCCTCGCAGGATTCGATGTGTCGCTCAATTTCGTGGATTAGTTGAAGCTAAATATTAACGCCGTTGGATGCCGGCCGGCTCAGTGGTCTAATAGCTAAGCTCTCGTGTGCGAGACTGATAGGTCCTGGGTTCAAGTTTTGCGAGGTGAAGTCGTGGATGAGCACTGCTGAGGAGCTCCATAATAGGATGAGTTGGCCGTCCAGTGCTTCCAGATTTTCCATGATAATCTAGCTTCAACTGACTCATGATCTCAACCATTGAGATTAATCATCATTATATATGTCCATATCTATGTGTCCATGTTTGTATGTAGTAAGTATGTATGTGTGCATGTATGCATGTAAGTGAATTCGTTCTTATCAATTTCAGTATCAAACATAGAAACAAATAGATATTCATCATTTCGAAGTTGATTAAAATAAGAATCAATACACTGTGATAGTTTATGATCTGATTTGCAGGTAACTTGGTTGGAGTCCGCGTGACTATTGTAACCAATGGTTGGAGACTTGCTTCAGAATCGATCGCAATCGCGTAGGTGGTGTATACACTCTTTGTTTTACCTTAAACTATGAGATTAAAATCACTTTATACCTTTATTTTCAATTCTTTCTTCCTGTACTATATCCTTATAAGCAATTTTTCTTTTTATATATATTATCACTATTGACTTAACTACTATGAATCCGGTGTTTATCTTGCTGTTCTAATGTGGTACGGCAACTTGGACCGATGCATATATGTGCCTGGTCCTACGTCGTAGCTGATTGTTTGACTGAATAAGGTTTATGAGGTTTGTAGTTGAAAAATCCCATAGATACTCACCTATTCATTCATATTTTCACTTGTAAATCGACATATACAGTTGATTATGATATGTATTTAATATGATTTCTTGTATTGAACATCATGTAAAATATATTAGCAGTGTAAAGTATACTACTTAAATCTACTTCTTAATTCCTCCTTTTCAACGACTTGATTTCATCATATTGATAAGTTAATGGATAAAAGTTTGAAAATTTTGTCCAGTTTTGTCCGATTGTAAGTATCTTCTTTTACAAATACTTACTGTAAATAGATCCTATTCATTGTAAATTTGATATTGAAATGATCTTGATTAAACGTTTTGATCCATTCTATACTGTAACATCGAATGAATCTATTATCAAGATACTTTACATACCTAACAGTAAGTTTGTTCACATCAATTTGGTCTTAATGAACTGCCTACAATTACACTATCTACTTAACAATATAATTTATTGCGCAATATAATATACTACTAATAACCATCCCCTAAAGGAATTAAGTATTGTATTGTGAAATTCACTGAAATTCATTCAAAGATAGACGATGCTTAGTAGCAGAATTTAGGACTCAAGTTACGTCCTACATGGGACTCATTAACTTGATGCATCTGCTGTATTATTGAGGATACAAATAAACTCTAATCTCATCATAAGTATGTATGAATGTGTGTGTGTGTGTCGTACGTGGGCGCGTGCGTGCGTGCATAAGTATATGTGTGTGATCTTGACTAAATTCTAGTCTCGGGTAGAATATCCTAGTTACTAATCAAATCAATAATCTAAATATACAAACCGCTCCACATCTAACCAAAATATATTTCATTTAATACTTTCTAGTTTCATGGATACAAAATAATTACTAATCAAATACTGTGAAGAAACCAATGAAATATGTTCCTTGATCTCAACAACAACTAACTATATCCGGCTCAGTGTTGTAGAGGTTAAGCTCTTGCCCGTAAGACCGATAGGTCATGGATTAAAATCTCTCGAGGCGAGGTCGTGACTGCGCATTGTTGAGGAGTCCTATCCTAGGACGAAACAGCCGTGCAGTGCTACCAGGTATTCTATGTTTGTCTAGCTTCAATTGACTCATGATTTCAACTAATGAAATAATTTCCATCTAATTTACTTATATATCCCATTTAATTTATTAAGTAAATTTAAGATGTCATATGACTTGTCTAGTCTAGTTTGTACTATATGTTAGTTGTTGCTGTTGTTGTTGTTGTTCTTTTTTCCCTTAATCAATTGAATTAATAAGTAATCAGTATAACAATGATCCTTCATTCTTCAATTCAGTAGGCTAAAAAAAAACGTTAAAAAGTGCATATCAATAGAGGGTAAATTATGTAATGTATATCTGGAAAGTATTTAACTGTTTACTTGATTGAATGAGTAGTGATGTTAGTGGATGAGTGATATGAAGAAGTAAACCATAATGAAACTTGATTGAATTGTAAAACAAAAAATAACAACTTAGAAATTCAGGATCTTCATTGTTGTAGAAATTTTGTGTAATTTGTTTATCTTATAGATAGATTTCGTAGGAGTTTTTGTGGATATTGTAGTAATTTCAATAGTTGAGATTATGAGTCAATTGAAGCTAGACCACCATGAAACACCTAGAAGCACTGGATGGCCGTTTCGTCCTAGCATGAGACTCCTTAGCAGTGTGCATTTACGACCTCTCCTCGCGAGATTTGAACTAGGGACCTATCAGTCTCACGCGCGAACGCTTAACCTCTACAACACTGAGCCGGCCGGCATCCGATCGTGTTAATATCAAGTTTCAACTAATCCACGAAATTGAGCAACACATTCACCATTCTCATCAGTGAGTTACTATTTGACAGCAGACTCGTTTGAACTTGAGCGCGCGAGTGCTTAACCTCAACACCACTGAGCCGGATATAGTTAGTTGTTGATAGGTCCTGTCGATCAATGGAATGATCAATGAGATCAAAAAGGAACATATTTCATTGGTTTCTTCACAGTATTTGATTAGTAATTATTTTGTATTCATGAAACTAGAAAGTATTAAATGAAATACATTTTGGTTAGATGTGGAGCGGTTTGTATATTTAGATTATTGATTTGATTAGTAACTAGGATATTCTACCTGAGACTAGAATGAAATACCTATAGCTTTAAAAGTCAGCAACATAACTATGAGATGGAAGGACAAGTATAACTACACTGAAATACTTAAACATTGAACCTTTCTTTACAAGAAAGGTAAAGAAATAACAATCTTTCCACTAAATCGTAAAATTCCATATAATAGCAATAGTGATGATTAGTGTAAATCGTTAGTAGACATCTTTGAATTTCTTGTTTAAGAGAATGAATCGATCGATTTCAGACCACCATTGGAAAACCGGAAGTACCAGACGGCCGTTTCACCCTAGTATGTCACTCCTCAATAGTGATCATCCACGATCCCGTTTGTGGAATTCGAACCCAAGGCCTTGGGTCTCGTGAGTGAACGCTTTACCTCTAGACCACTGAGCCAGCAACGAACGGTGTTAATATCTAACATCAAAAAAAAAAAAAAAAAAAAAAAAAGAAAAAGAAAAAGAAAAAGAAAAGGAAAAAAACTTGACAAGCTCCACAACCCTACACTAATCTTTGAATGTAATCAGTTACATAATGAGATGACCATAAGACAAGTCTTGTACTGGGACTAAAAAAGCTGTTCAATACTGCCTAGATCAGAAATGATTTTCTAAATTATACAAATACTGATAATAATAATAATAACCCTCTACCATTAACCCATGAATTTATGAAACAATTTACAAATGAACTCAATAAATCTAGTCCCAAAGAAGGGGAAAATTGGCACATTAATGACCTAAATATTTGTTTGTTTATCTGTTTTGTTTTAAAATATATGACCTTAATGTTTAAGTCATCAAAATGGTGGTTATGACATTGGATATGTGTAAGTGACTTTGCTTTTCAATCTTCACTATATATATATGAGGTATCCAGTATATTTTTCTTATAGTTTTCCTTTCATCTATTCAACACAAACTGGAAATAAATACTCACTCCTGTTACTCTCAATAAAGAATAGACTGCCAACTAGCATTCTCCAACTCACTCTGTCCTCGGACTTCCCTTATAGTTCGATCCAATTCTTGTTCATTCTTCTCATGTCTTTCTCCATTTATCGGCCTAATGTGTTCTTTGG